GATTCGTTTCTCTCTGATCCACTGTGTGCGGCATCTGTCTCTTATACACATCTAGATGTGTATAAGAGACAGCACACACACACTGCCATATTTTTTGAGTCCTCATCTTGATCACGTGACTCGTTCAATGCCAACCAGTCATAAGACTGACACTTCAGCATGTCAGACCAGATGCGTAGAATGAACTCTGATGACAAACCGACTGTTATAGTTATTCTATCAAACTATGTTGTGAACTCTGATGGCAAACCGACTAAAACTGTTATAGTTATTCTATCAAACTATGGTGTTACCCTCACAAGGGTATTCTTGAGTTTTTGCAATTTGCACAAGGTGTGGACGTATTCCGCATACGACCTTATAGAATAGGTGGTGCCGCTACAGGAGCGCACTGATTCGTTGACCCTTGCCTCGTTTGCGCCATGACTGTAGCAGTTAAGACAACTGAGTGAGACAAACTTTATCCCAGCACGCGTACTATCACGATTTGAGATAAGAGTGAGAGAAGACAAAACCGAATCACGAATGAGGTGGACGGGTTAGTTTTGTTGTTAAAAGGGTTAGTGTGTGTAGCGGCATGGTCACCGAAGGTTAGGTGCATGGGTACTCTAGGTAAAATTTAGTATGGGTCACGAACGTACGGATGAGAACGTTGTGGCTGAGCGACTGGGAGAGTACCCCTGCTAGCAAGTCGCACCAGGTACTGGAAAGGAATTTCAATGACATCCTGTGAAGCTAGTCTGAAATAGTGCACATATATGCCTTGAAGAAAGAAGGTTCCTACACGCAGAGTCAGAAGTTTGTCGAGTCGGACCACGTAGTGAGAAAGAACCACGACTTGTCCTCTAAAACTATCATTATTATAGTATGAAATAGTGCACATCTACGCCGTGAGGAAAGAAGGTTCCTACGTGCAGAGTTAGAAATGGGCTGACCAACAGGAAGTGATGCACCTTACGTTAAGACAGTTCGGGTTGGAGCAGCAGTTAAGGTGATAACAGCCACAGAGCACTCACAACACCTTAGTGGCAATTGTCATAAAATTTTCAACCGACTAAAGGATTGTATGTTTGAGAACTGATCTCTTGCAGGATACGAGGTGGTTATAACGTTGAAGTGCTTCACCCGTCCTATAAATGCCATGAGTGCTCCCTTATCCAACATTGGACGCAAAACCTCAATTGAATCTTTAGGTTCGGTCTGGATAATTGGGTCCCTCGGTTCATAACAAACCTCTTAAAAATTTTGCCTAGGATGTGGAGATTGAGGGTCCTTTCTTCACGAAGTTCCATGATTTTAAAGTATAATGGGCTTGAAATGATCATGAGACTTATGAGAAACATAAATGGACTTGTGCACTTAGGATTACCTCCCTGACCAACACCTTCAAACAAGAGATGATATGTCATTTCGCAAGTATAACCTAAATATTGTGTTCGGACATCTCTTTGATTTCTAAGTTTTTGACCATCGGGCAATACCGGAATCCCTAATCATAAATTCATATGCAATGTGATAACCTCACGCCATTGATTCTCTCTACGCGCCACACCGTTGCACAAAATCATCACATCGTTTCATTTTCCTAGGTACCATACCACTATAACAATCAGCATGGCTACATACAGCCCCTCAAATATTTATATAGAGAAAGGAAATTGAAAGTGGTGTAAGTGCAAAATTCACGAAGGTAGGGAAAATAAAGTTGCGGTAAAGAAATATTAAGAGGCATCGGTTCTTAGATCATGGAGCAAAATTAAGTTCAAGAGAACAGGAAAAAGAGAAGCGCACATCAGTTAAGATAATAAAATTCATAAGTGGGTGGATAATCTCATTAACTGAATATAATGTTAACTATTGATAAAATTGGTTTAACAAAACAACCAATGAAGATTAAAAAATTAACCATTGACACAAGGTTTGTTGCTCGCTATATATTCCACCTTAACTCCCGTTTCCTGTTGTTGGCCCGCACCCAGTGCACTCAATATCCTGAATTATACTCATCAATCTCAGTAAACCACCACTGCATTCCTTGTTGCCCATTGGCGACCCCTCTCAAAATAATGAACCCAAAGAAGTTGAAATAACAGACAAACATGCTCTTTAAGATTCTAATTTTGCGAATGAGTAACAATTTGAACCCAAGAAAGGTAATAAACAAAAAAAATTATCATCCCTCATTATGCCCTTAAATTTCCTCACCACGCAATTTGAA